TTGGTAACTCGGTGCTATAAAACATGCCTTTGTGTATGATTCAACAAGTAGTAGAACAAGCCATATGAGTCGAAGTTTATCCATTCCTTTTACCTTCGGGATAAAAGCGATATCTGTGGGCCCCTCGATGATTTGATGATGACAAATGGAAGTGCTCGGCCGGGCCAGGACTGATTTGATTTGTTCAATTAGTCAGTCGTCATAAATTGGAAATCGGGAAACAACTAATGGACAGAGAGAATGATTATAATCCATGTCTTAGTCCATATGATATCTAGAATGGAGGAATATATGATCCCTTATCTAATGGACAAGTCATTGACAAGATCAGAGTTCATCTACAAGGTCAGAGTTCGACAGAAGCTTTTGAGAGCTACGATTGCCAGTTGGTTCCTGAAGTCATACGCAATAATAGTTTTAGACTTATCCAAGTGGGAGACTGTTGGATTAATGTCTAAGTCCATAACTATAATTGGTAAGACTTGACCCGACCCGGCATGGTCCATTTGGGTTGCATACCATCATGCACTTGGATAGACTAAATGAGAGAAATAAGACACTTATGGTTATTAATATATTATAAGTTCTAGTATATTAATAATAAGAATAATAAGATTATTTAATTAGTATTGATCAAAAATTAATCTAGCATTAATTGAGTGATCAAAAGAAGACTAATTAAATATATGGGTTGATTGTGTAAATCATCCATACTTGTATAGTGGGCTAATGCTCCATGGATTATCTAGTTGGGCTAAAACCCATATGATGCTCCATGGATGCTCCATGGTGTATTTGAACCCATGGATCCAAGGAAATGGAAAGTCATGACAATTAGAGTTTACCCTAATTGTATAACTATATAAGCATCTTATTCTTGAGGAAAATCGGCCACTAGTGAGAGTAAGAAAGGGCTAGCCGATTTTCATGAAGTGTAGAACTCTCTCAAGTTATTCTAAGTGTTTTGATGATTGTGAACCATTTGAGGTGTCACACTTGGGGCACTAGGCACTCAAGCTTCATGAAGACATTCTACATCAAAGAGGTATGTATTCTATCTTGTTATATTGATAGTTTTGTATGCTAGATTAGGATAATACCTTGGATGTTCATATTTGCATGTATAATAGAGAAAACACAGATCCAAGGTATTTAGGGTTGCATGTACACTTAGGAGTGTTAGAATGCTCATAACCCAACATTTTCTTGAAAAGTTTCTTCTTTAAGGAGGGGCGCCCACGAGTATTTTTGTGAGTAGCAGGTTCAGAAACTGAAGTTGTTGACGGTGTGATTAAGTTTAGTAACTTTCTTGCTAAACTTAACTTAACAGGTCTTGATTGTATGCTTCCTTTGTTTCAGAGTTAACCAACCTCGTCCATGACGTATAAAGAACATCCCAACATGATTTGCATTTCTTCATGATATTGTTATTTATATGCCATCTGCAAAGTAATCCTTTAGCATCTGGAAATATAATAGTGTATGCGTTCATGAGAGCCATTTCTCTATCAGTCACAATAACACGCGGCAACATACATCCTTCCATTACCGATTTTAGACAGTCTAAAGCCCAAACATAGTTGGATTGTTTTTCTTCATGCATGTACACAAATGCAATGGAAAATGTCATATTTGTTGGAGTTACACCAACAATCTCTAATAGAGGCATCCCGTACTTGTTTGTTTTATATGTTGCATCCGTTAACAAGACATGTGGAAATGCACGCCATATTTCTAATGATCTTGGATGAGCAAAGAATAAATCTTCTAACTTATTTGTCAAAACATTTGCACGACTATAATAAACATATCCATTTTGATCTAGAAATTCCATAACACCTTGCATTTGAGTTTTACCTTCTCTCTCCCTACGTCGAAGTTTTTCGTCTGCATTGTAGATAGTTTTGAGAGTAGATACATTTTTCGGATTTAGGTTTTTTAGTGCAGATAATATATCTTTTGGTTTGACATTTTTTTTCAACAAATCTTCCACTATTCGACATTCATATTCAGTTAGTCGTCGTGGATAAGGATGACCTTCTAAATATAATGACGGCTCATGGTTATGAAATTCACATATCATTTTTATCTTCCAAGAATTATCTACTGACGAATATTTACCCTGTAGGCTAAATGGACAATTAATTTTTTTTGGAGATTTGTGTACTTTTGTATGTACCTCCACGGTCACATTGAAATACAACATTAAAGTTACGTTTAGAATTTTTTATGACGATGACATAACCTAAAGTATTTGCCATATTTTGCACCCAATCCATCAATTCTTGACGAAAATTGAACACCTGACAGTTATATTATTATCAGTAGCAGACAAATCCACTTGATGCTTACATTACAGTAACAACATACTAATGAATTTATACCTTATTTGTTTTGAAGGGTGACGTGTCATCAAAGAAATAACGACTTTCGTTCAAGCTTTCATTTTCATATGTTTCATTTGTGTCCATTGGATGAATATCCGTTTCGAATGGTGATGTGTCGTCGAAAAAATAGTTACTTTCATTGAAGCTATTATTTTCATCTATTTCATTTGTCTCCATTGGATGAATATCATCTCTCTAAACATAACAAAGAGAAAAAAAAATATAATAATAATAATAATAATAATAATAATAAGAAAGGTTAAGTACAAATACCTCATAATATGTGTCACCCATCCATTCTTTCCAACTTGTCATTTAATAAAATCTATATTTTTAACAAATATCATATATTTGCTTTTACGGAAAGTTACTTTCAGCAAGTCGCTTTCACTATACCATATAAGAAATACGAATCCTCTATATATAGAAATAAATTGTAACCAAATTTTCATTTTTATCCCTTCTATTTTTGTTAATGTTTCATAGTTTATATTTCTTATTTAACAAATTAATTTTTTTCTATTAATATTTAATAATATTCATTATTACTTTTTTTTATAAATGTATTCATGAGATCATTTTAATTAAACAACTTTTATGAATAATTAATATGTTTCTACTTGTTAGTTTTCAAAATTAATAAAGTTTTAAGGGTTTAAGATTTAAATTGATAAAATCTAGGGTCTTTTCTAAAACTACAATGTAAACTGAAGGTATAAATTTGTAATATTATATTTTATCGATAAAATGATTCGGCACACATATTAATCGGCACACATATTAATCGGCACTGACTAATTGATTTACTGTAGACACGCAATTCAATGCAACAAATACACGAAAAATTCGTGTATATAGGAGGACCCTTCGTTTTTAATATATTTTATCATTTTTCATTTAATGCCTCTTATTTTCTATTAAAGTAACAAAATCTATCTTCTACTTTCCACTTTCTACTTTATAGTTTTTATTTTACTGTTTTGTTTATTGATTTGTTTTATTAACTAAACTTATTATTATATATATATATATATATATATATATATATATATATATATATATATATATACTAAAACACATGGTAATTATTATTATTATTTTCAACATTATCTCTTTTTAATGATTGAGAATTTTAAAATGTTTAACACCAACTAAAAAATGTTATATATATATATATATATATATATATATATATATATATTAAAATAAAAAATGATGATAAAGTATGATCATCCCCATCGAGGGTTTTATGATTAATAGGTTAAAAAGTGGTATTATAACATTGAATGGAATAAAAATGCATTATAGCTAGAATGTAATGAATGAGAAGTTCAATCCCCATTAAACCATGTAATGCCATGTCTTTTTTTTTCTTTAGTTTATATTGATTTTTTTTTTTTAATTTTCTTTCTCAATTTAATATAACAATTTATATTAAAAATAACATTTTTTCATATTAATAATTAAAAATATATATAAAATATAACAATTTAATATAACAATTAAAATATATATAAATCTTAAAAATATTTTAAAATGATAACATCTTATTTATTATAATACAACATAGTGAAATTACATATTAATAAAACGTTGCCAATAAATAAATTTGTAAATTTTAATTTCTAAATTGTAATCTTTAATTAATATTTAATAATAAAACGTTAAGATACCTGTTTCACGGAATCAATACGCCGACGGTATCACCTCTACCCGTTACGCGAAACTAGCGACTTTGTTATTAAAATTTATATTTCTTAAATAAAATGTCATTAAATATTTAATAGATATAACCAATAGTAAAAAAATAATATATTTAAAATTAAAATTAATAATATAATAAAATATAATATAATTAATTAGGAAAACGTTAGAGTTATAAAACATAAAAAAAAAAAAAAAATTATTGACTAATATATATTAAATGGTTTATAAAAACAAAAGAAAAAAAGTTTTCTAATATGATATATTTATACGGTGATGGTTGATAGAAAACAAATAGGAAAGAGTTATAAATTAAAATAAAACTTTTTTTTTAACCATATAACAAAAAATAATAAAGTTTAAAGTAAATACTATAAAACATTAAGGGTGTATTTTGAAAAATCTTTGCAAGTTGAGGGACAAATTAATTTTATCTTGTCAAATGTCATATCTGACCTTTATATACGAATCCTTCGTGCGTATAGGAGTACCCTTTTATATAATATATGCAGGGGTGGATTCAGGGGTTCACCGGTGTCACCTACAACTCCTAAATTTTCTGGTTGTAGTGGAAAAATTTTCAAAAATTTTTAAAAGTTTTATTTTTTCTAATATCGTGTAACCCCTAACTTTCCCGTGCACCCCTATTCAGAAATCTTGCATCCACCCCTGAATATATGAAATTATATATATATTTAAATATTTAAAGTTAGAGTTAAATGCATCATGGTTCATGAATTTGGGACGATAGGGGCGCCACTATTAGGGTGCATTAATAATAGTCTATATATTTAAATATTCTTGGCTGTAGACTATTATAATTATCACAACAAGAAATATAACTTTTAGGGGCGCCACTATTAGGGACGATAGGTATCTTTAGGGGCGCCCTCCAACATGTCGCCGCTAATGGTTAAATCGGCATCGCTAAAGGCGTCGCCCCTAAAAGGTGGCCTTTTTGTTCCCCTCCAGGTAGCAGATCGCAGATCAGGTACCACCTCCACTCCATTTCTCTCTCGTTCTTCCGATGATTTCAACGTTTTTCCGGCGACTGGAGACTCATTTTGCATCTTCCATCGACTATTAACCATTGGTGCACCCCACTTCTTCAACCAGAGTGATTTCCAGCTCCTCACCGGCATACCTGCTCCACCGGCGACGTTCCGAGTTTCCCACGCACTTCTCAACCGACAAAGGTTTGTTTTCCTTTCTGATTTCCACCGGTTTTTGTTTTTGTTTCCATTTCTCTTTTTTTTTTTTTTTTTTTTTTTTTTTTTTTGTGGCTAATTTTACTGCTTTTGGTGGTCTTAAGGAGATATCCCCATTACAACCACCAAGCACCGCCACTACTGCTTGTCTTGTCTCCGGTGAATTCCCAACCGTCACTGCCGCCATCTCCACCGTTTTCAGCTCTAGTTCTACAACCACAACGACAGGTGCATTAATAATAGTCTATATATGTATGAATTTGATATATGTATATTAATTTGATATATGTGTGGATATATGTATATATGAATTTGATATATATGTGCATGAATTTGATATATGTGTGTATATATATGTGTATGTGAAAATGTATTTGATTATATGTTAATTTAGTATAATCAAAAGTTATATATTGTGAGTACGTGTATTTGATTTTAAAAATGTGTTTGATTATGTGTTTTTATCTTTTGTTAATTTTATTAACTTCTATGATTTTATTAATAATATTACTCAATATTTGTAATGTAATTATTCATATTATCTATAAATTATTATAAAGTTTTTTTTTTTTTAGTTTAACTTTTTTTTTTCTATCCAAGCTTGTTAATTGTATATAACCTGTTAATTTAATAATAATTTAATAAAAACATGGTGGAGGTACAAGTTAATTATAAATTGTAGGATAGTTATTTTGTTTTTTATGTTTTGGAATGTCAAATTAATCAAAATTTATATAAACTAATTGCCAATTGTGATTTTTCAATTTTAGTTTTTAGAATATTATATTTTGTCATCATTTTTTACATTGTTAACTATATTACGACATTTCTTAATTTATTATATATTTTTGTCGACTTTTGACCTAAATATCTTGATAGTAATACTTTGTGTAAACATTGCATACCTATATCTTTTTTTCCAGATCTGCCACTTGTGGAAAAAATTAATCAATTTCATTAATTAAAATACCTCATTGTGGACATAAATGAATTTAGTAATACTTTGTGTAAACATTGCATACCTATGCACTTGTGTCATTTTTTTGGGTTGCATTGTTTATCTCATGGCTGCTGTGATGGGTCATGGAGGTGATGGTGGTGACGAGCCATCACATCCGTTCGGTGGAGATTTTAGTGTTCACCATATTGATGGTAATTAAGATTTATTCTAATTCATTGTATTTCATATTGCTAGAGGGTGTGGAGGTAGCAAGGGCTCGACCCCCATGGGTATGGATTCAGCGCGTTGGAGTGCTACTATTGACTACTTCTTAACTAATACATATTGTAAACGATCCAGTGTAAACAAAGAACGTCGAAAGAAGCAAAGTAGTTAAGAATCATGAAGGGACATGCAACTACGGTAGTGCTTCTTTCAAAAATGTTAGTTACATTAATGTTTATTTAGTTTGTTAAATTGTTATGAATTCGGTACTTTGTTAAATTGTTAAGGACTTCATGTGTTTGTGACTTAATTGTTAAGTAATAATATTTTGTAGGATGTGGATGTTAACGCTTTTCTCCAAAACCCGGCGTTTGTGACTGCACTTGGAGATATTATCCGCTCATTTAGCAAACAAGTTGACAATGCGACCAACAACGACGAAGAAAACGATGATGGAGACAACGATTAATATATATATTGTTTTATGATATATATGTAGTTATTATGGATTTAGATGATGTTAATTTGATATATTTTCTCTATGTTATTTGATGTTTTATGTAATAAAACTTTTTAAATTATAAGTTTTATAATTTTATAAATTCTGTATTTTTATAATATAAACTAATATAAAAATATAAATTTTATCTAAAAAACAAGCATTATTTGCGACACCTTTAGGAACGATCTTCAGCATTAGTGATGACACATCCCGCCGAAATATTTGGCCGGAATAATATTGGACGGTTGTCGGAATATTATTAGGGATGCCGCCTTTAGGGACGACAACTGGTATTAGCGACGACAGGTATTAGGGACGACGCCTTTAGGGACGACATTTTAGTATTAGCTACGAGGTATTTGCGGCGACCCAATTGGGACGACATGTCGTCCCTAATACCTTTATGGGCAACTTGCTTTACTATTTGCAACACATTTTGTCGTCCCTAAAGGTGTCATTTCTTGTTGTGTATTATTATACTGAATGCCATCTTTTCATCGACATCTACCGTAATAAATGAAAAAGCATTTTGTTGCATGTCACTTAAAGACTTTTGTCACATGTGATTATGCAAGATTTTTAAATTATTTAAATTTTACATGTTATTATTTTTATATTTTATTAATAAAAAATTAATCAATTTCATTAATTAAAATACCTCTATTTTTTTTTAAACGACAAATCTAACCTACTCCTAAACTACACCTTAAATTCATTTATGTCCACAATGAGATTTGAACCCTCAACCTCAAGGAGGGAGAACAACATCGGATACCGTTGGAGCCCTTTGGTAAATAACTCTATTATACATGTAAAATATTCACTGTATTAAATATATAAATCAACACTATAGTTATTGAAACTTCTATTATTTAAGGTAAGTATATTTTTCTCCATAAAATGAATATAATAATAATAGTTTGTGTTTTTCTAACACCAAAGCTATCTATTATGATTTTTTTTGTTACATGAACTAAAATAATGAAATGTTAAGTAAAGGTATAATAATTTTAGTGGTGAGTTTTAGTATTTTATATTTTCTCTAGCTCGCTTTTAATGTTTTTAAACTTTGAGATGATATAGACACTAAATTATTGGCCGCGTAAAACGCATGGGAACATATATATATATATATATATATATATATATATATATATATATATATATATATATATATATATATATATATATAAAGTCATAAAAAACCAACACAATAATTAAAAAATGATACATAACAGAAACACTTCTCGTTATTGATTATATTGAAAAGTTTAAAATATAAAATGAAATGTATCAGTATCTATAATCATTGAATGACCTCTTTTTAGACAATATTTTTTGTTTTACCGGTTGGACGACCTTCCTCATCACATATAAATACATTCAAAACTCGTGTCAGAAAGCCTAATCTAACTGGACTCACGACGTGAGCATTACTTCTCTCGACGTTAGGAGTCAAACAGACACTAATCGAGCCTAGAAAAAACCTAGGAAGTCTATGGGATGACTCTTGGAAGCTGACGACGTGAACATATCATTATCACGACGTGAGAAGTCATCCGGACACTTTTCGGAGCTATAAATGCAAATGGTGGGTCTAAGAGGTGCGCAGGATCGAGCTCACGATGTGATCATGTATGGCTCACGACGTGAGAGGCCAAAAATCAGCCTATAAATAGCCATTTCAACCCTAAGCTTCCTTACACCAAATTCTTTTCTCTTTCTCTTTCTCTCTCTCTCTCTCTCTCTCTCGTTTGCTGAAGGCGTTCCGCATCCCGAGCCCGACGATCACGAACCGCTGACCATTTCTACTTAGATTCTATCAAATCACTCTACTAATGTGAGTGCATAGTCCGGTTCATGAACACGATTATAATACAAGTACTAAATTATATGTTTATGTGTGAAATATTGGATATTGTCTAAAAATACGTGTTAAGAGCATATCTGATAAATATATGATGATTTAGGATATAGAGTTGACCTAAATAAATTAAAACAGATATTAGGTAGTATCTCCTTGTGAGTACAAGTGAGATATACATGGAGGGAATAACTTTAAAACTTGTTATTAATCCGAGAGTATGGATTAGACTTAGTCAGTTGTCCTTAGTCCGAGAGTATGGATAGTACATAGTTATTTGTAATTAATCCGGAAGTAGGGTTTAAGACATAGTCAATTGCCCCTTGTCCGAGAATATGGAATTGACATAGTTATTCATCCGGGAGTATGTATCAAACATACCCGACCTGGGAGTATGGATTAGGTAAGGAGGTAAATTTTAGATCCGGGAGTATGGATTAGGTAAAGAGGTTAATTTTACTTCTGAGAGTATAGATTGTGTCGTTGTGAGGATCGACGGGATGGGGTAAAGTTGCTTATATATGGTGAATTTGTATTTTCTGTGAGTTCTAATATATATATATATATATATATATATATATATATATATATATATATATATATATATATAACATTGTGGGACTGAAATCCCTAAATACTCACCAGGTTTTCCAACCTTACCCACTCAGCTTATTTATATTACAAGTATCGATACGAAGCTACATTACATTGAGAGATTAAAAGAGGGGAAATCTTCAGAAAAGTCCCAATATTTACGGAAAAGTTACACTTTAGTCCCAAGATTTTTTTTTTGAACGAAAAAGTCCTGAAAACCGGCAAAAATTTGCAGTTTGACCCTTTTTGACCGGTTGAAACCGGTACCAAACTAATTTGGGACTATTTCGTAAACTAATCCAAAATATTGGGATTTTTCAGTAAACAAAAAATATTAGGACTTTTCTGTAAACAAAAATATTAGGACTTTTCTATAAACAAAACCTTAATTATTATTATTGTTATTATTATAATTATTATTATTATTATTATTATTATTATTATTATTATCATCATCATCATCATCATCATCATCATCATCATCATCATCATCATCATCATCATCATCATCATCATCATCATCATTATTATTATTATTATTATTATTATTATTATTATTATTATTATTATTATTATTATTAAAAATATAAATAAGAATACTTTTTTTTGAACTTGTTATTATTAATATTGTTACTAATACATATAAATGTATTTAAATGAAAAAATAATATTAATGACATTGTTTAAGGGTGGAGGTGGAGGAGATGTTGCTGCCTTTAGCATTGAAATCATGCATGTTTGCTTGTATATTTTTACTTTTTATATGGCCATTTCACATTTGTTGTTATTGTTTTCAATTAAAAATAATAATACTTAACAATTTAAAAGAAGTTGCATATTTGTAAAATTCTTTATAAATAGTTTAAGTTAGAAGGATTTCTCACTTTGTATATAAAAATGTTTACAGTAGAAGGATTATTTTCCAAATCCAACAGATCCACTACAAATATCTACATAGGTAGCCCATATCAAAATTCAAAAATATTAATTACAATATCTTGTTCAATAAAAAGTAATAGGACATGTTTTTTGGATTAATACTTTTGAATTTTGAATAATACTTTTGAATTATTCCTATTACTTTTTGTTAAACAAAATATTGTAATTAATACTTTCGAATTTTAATATAGGTTACTTATGTAGATGTTTGTAGTGGATTTGTTGGATTTGGAAAGTAATTCTTCAACCTTAAACAATTTTATATACAAAATGAGAAACTCTACTACCTTAAACTATTAATATGCAACTTCTTTCAAATTGTTAAATATTAATATTCTGAATTGAAAACAATAATAACAAATATGAAATGACCATATACAAAGTAAAAATATACAAGTAGACATTCACGATTTCAATACTAAAAACATCACCATCTCCTCCACCTCCACCCTTAAACAATGTTATTAATAATATTTTTTTCATTTAATGCATTTATATGTATTAGTAATAATATTAAAAATAACAAGTTCAAAAAATAGTATTCTTATTTATATTTTTAATAATAATAATAATAATAATAATAATAATAATAATAATAATAATAATAATAATAATAATAATAATAATTAAGGTTTTGTTTATAGAAAAGTCCTAATATTTTTGTTTACAGAAAAGTCCTAATATTTTTTGTTTACTGAAAAATCCCAATATTTTGGATTAGTTTACGAAATAGTCCCAAATTAGTTTGGTACCGGTTTCAACCGGTCAAAAAGGGTCAAACTGCAAATTTTTGCCGGTTTTCAGGACTTTTTCGTTCAAAAAAAAATCTTGGGACTAAAGTGTAACTTTTCCGTAAATATTGGGACTTTTCTGAAGATTTCCCATTAAAAGAGATGTATATTACTAGTATAGATGGATGTAAGGTCTGTTTATGCTTATGTTTCTGTATTGACAATGACATCCCAAAGTTTTAATATAAAAAAATACATTTCTTCGGAAATCCTTTGATAATATGTTTATCATGTTTTTCTGGGAACAAATTCCACAACACCTTTTCTTAAAGGATACCCTGATTTTAAAAATAAAGCATAAACAAATCGGTCTTTTCTGACCGTGAAAATGGAGATGTCAAATCGTTTCCTCCAGTTTCATTTCATTGTGGTAACGAACGAAACCAATCTTCAAGTGCGGCACTACGTGTCGGATATTTTAACATTATTTGAAGCATTTCCAACTACAAATAAAACAACATAGTCATATAAGTTAAGCAAGCATTATAACATTCTATACACAAAATATACACTCCACATACAAGCAAAGTACAAAATATAACATTGTACAGTAACTAACAATTACCAAATTACACATATTGTATATAACACATTATAACATTGTACTATAACTAACAATTACCAAACTATAAAATACCATTATAGCATTGTACTTTCACAAACTAACAATTACCAAGATACATATATTAAATATAACACATTATAACATTGTAATTTTTTTTTTCATTTTTTCCATTATAACATTGTACTTCCATAAACTAACACTTACCAAACTACAAAATACCAATATATCAAACTATAACCAAACTAACAATTACCAAGATATAAACTATTATCAAACTAACAATTACCAACATTTGAAACTATTACTAAACCAACAATTACCAACATTTGAAGCAATTACCAAAATTAAATAGTTTTGTCACTTGTGACTGTAGCGGTGGCTGTGTCTGTGGTTGTTCCTGATCATATATAGACACAATCGTTGAAGGTTTATGCCTGATGCCTCTAATATGGCCTCGTCGAACCAATATTCTTTCAAAACGATTTTCTGTATCCTTTGGTGTTAGACCAATGACTTCAGAATAAGCTTTAGTTTGTTGAATGATCTCAAGGAGTAAAGCATTATGTATTTTCAATAAATGATAAATATCATAAAAATTAGCTTACTAAATACCCCTTGACGATATAACACTTATATGAAAATACAAATTAACAACTTACATATTGTTTCCTGACTGTAGGACCACTAAATACCCCTTGACGATCTGTATTAGCCTTACGAAATACTTCGATTCGAGTGATGTCCTATTTAACATTAAAAATTAGATTAATTATAATTTAAATAAACAGTTAAGTATATCATAGCTTACTTCTTTAAAACATGCATTGTTCTACGAGCACGATCCTCCTCTGTTTACAACTTATTGTTGTGCACGGACTCCTTTGTTTGACGCTGAACGCTTTAAAATTTTGGGCGTTTGAAAATGTTCGGCTGCTTGCGCCCAACTTTCACGAGACATACCATAGGGGGGTTGGCCAATGCCCTTGGGATATCTGTAACCCCCCCCCCCCCCCCCCCCCCCGACATTCTAAAAATAAGTATGCGCTTTATTTTTTCGGCCTCTATAAACTTTTTGTAAAGTCACATCAATGCTCTGTAATAACTGAGCACGCTTAGGATCCAAGTTAACCTTCTCCAAATCAAACTTATTCTACAAATACAAAACAATTAGTTAATTAAATATCAATCAGAACTAAACATAAAATATTATCCATGTTACCATTAAAGCGGGGGGAGCATTGTCCTAACTAGATACATTCAAAGGGATGTTCATCCACATATACCTCCCAATCTCACGGGTAAACCAATTACCATGGTTCGCGACAGGGGAATATATGAACTCTCTGTCGAAATCCAATTCCACGAGCTTTCCCTTGTTTGCCCGTATCAACTTTGATAGTTAGATGTTTTTTTGCTAGGCCTCTTCTTTTTTAGGAAGCTCAGATGAAAAATATAATTAAAAATATTAGTCACGATAGCTTATAACAAATGTATAAAAATAGCTAATAAATATAACATAATAACACTTACCATCTTATTTGTGTTGTCCACGACCAAAGCCTACCGGAGGTGGTGGATCCCTGGCTTTATCACCTAAATGTCTTAGTCCCATAACATCCGCCATCACGTAGAATAGTATCTTCCAACTAAACCTCATATATAGACTGTAAAATTACAATATGAATAAAAGGTACTCATATTGCATACAAATACACAAACTAAATATATAATTTTCTTTACATACAAATACACATATAAAAAATAATGCTTTCCATTATAGCACCCTAATTTTTTTTCCTGTTTTTTCATTATAACATCGTAGTTTCTAAATTGCATACAATACATACATACATACATATACATACAAGTACACATATTACATATACATACAAATACACTTTCCTTTATAGCATTAACTTTATTTTATAATTAATTTAAAATTACTAAAAGTGTGTTGTAATTAATAACCTACCTAATTAAGCTAAAATTGTAATGACCAACATTAAGTCACTAACAAAATTAAACACTTTGAAACTATATTAACAAGAAAATAATATATATATATATATATATATATATATATACACACACACACACACACACATTATACAAACAAATACACATCACATGTTTTCTACATATACTCATTATAGCATCATACTTTTTATCTATTATACCGACCTAAATTTTTTTCATTTTTTTCTAACATACAAATTACACATTCACAAATAATACATATACAAATAACATACAAATAGAAAAAAAAATACTAATGTACAAACACATACATGCATCATACACATACAAATACATTCTACTTATAAAATGAAATATGAAAAGGAACCTGTGATAATCTAATTTTGAAATTTTTGGCAAGAATTCCATAATTCCGGCAATAATTCTGGCAACAACCTTAAATTAAAAGTTTAAACTCAATAAATAAACATCAAAACAGATGAAGAATTGAAAATAGGGAAGAATTTAGACCTTAAATCAGTAAAAATTCCAGAATTGAAGTCTCCTCTTGGTCGCCGATAATGAAAGTCTAGGTCGCCGGTAATGGAGGCAATGGAGATTTCGACGACGGCAACAACTTTCGTGTGTGCAATCAGCGACGGCGGTGGTGTAAGAAGGGGGAGACCGGCAATGGAGAGAATGAGAGAAAGAGGCAGACAGAAGATGCATGAAACAGAGAACTGGAGGGGTTATTTGTGCGGAACTTTAGCGGCGACGGGTATTAGCGGCAACTCAAGGGTATTAGCGGCGACACCCCTGGAGGGAAAAGTTAGCGCTTTTTTTTCACGTCGTTACAACCGTTCGATTGAATACAGATCGAACGGACATGGTTCATTTGACGCGGATAGCTACTGTTTGGGTATTAGCGACGACATGTAACACGTTATTTACATGTCGCGACTTTTTTTTGTAGTGTTTAACATATAGTCACGATTTGCTTTTGATATAGTCATGGAACTAAAACGTGGTCATAACTTATCATTAGTGATGGGACCTTTTGTCACGTTTTGAGTAAAATTAAAGACTGAGTAAATGTCTATGGTCATAGTTTGTTCGCATGGCTAATGACGTTTTGTGTACTAATGAAATGGACGGCTTGTAGTTTAATCAACAATCAAACGGGGATACAGATTAAAATACATACAAGTGTCCAAAATGAAGAAACAAAAGCCTTTGTCCTAAAAAAATGGCTAGAGAAAAAGGGGAAATTTTTTTTCGTATTTGAAGAAACTTGTCGGGAGAAAATGGCTACTTGGCCGCTCCTTCAAGTGGCCATACCTAGTCGCCGTTTCAATAAAAACCATCAATTCAGTGTCGACCAAGTGGCCAACAATTGAACGAACTGGTTTGGTCAAAAAACTCAAATTATGAATTCTCAGCAAGTGGCAAATTTACGCTATAAAAATTATTCCAATGATTTTCAAATTCTCGAACGATTGTGTATATGAAGCATCACCCAAATAAACAATACTTGTATGATTATACATTATCAAACAAAACAAGTACACATAAAATATTACAGGATTGAAATCCCTTTTATTTTTGCTGGACCATGAACACGACACACCATCTATATAATATTGATTAATAAGTGTGAGGATTTGCATGGATAAAACTCTCAATCGCCTTGAAAGTTTTCTTGAATCCTTCTTTTGTCATATTGATAGCTTCCTCAGGAAGTTGAGTTTCACCTTTACAGTTATGCACAATGGTAGACTTGTATACACATCCACCATCAGGTGAAGGTATAAACTTAACATGATGAGTCATTGAATCTAGTTGTCCCATCAACACATCTCCTTCAAAGATTGTGTAAACAACAGCGAAGTTGTCACTATCAACAACATCAAGTTTCGACTTTCCGCTTGTAAATGGGACGCCTGTGTTATCCCACAGTAAATTGGATAAAAAACCAAAATACATGTCAAATATACTAAATCAATTTAAAAGAGTATGTATAAAAAGTTAATTAGATTTTACTAACCATCGCCAAAAGAGATGTCCCTGATAGTTCCAGCGCCTCCATCACCTTCGATGGTCACTAGGGTTTTGTATGTTTCTGGATCGACCTTTGGTGCAATGTTGTTAAAGTCACGATAGGCATTGAAAAATTTGGAAGCTGGGATGGAAGAAGAGACCTCGAACTCAGAAGTAACAACTGTCATGATATCAAATCACTCCTTAAAATTTTATGAATTTTGCTTCTTTGAAATGTGATATTTATAGAATTATGTGGGTCACAAACAGATGAATAGTGAGTATTATTTTAATTTATCAATTATGGAATTGTTGAATTTTGAGAGTTTATCTGTTTGAATATTCCTACGTTCAACATTGGTGTACTATTATTTTAAATTTATTAAATATGGATTAGTTGCATTTATGAGTCAACGTCTGTTTGGACTTTGGACATTTTCCAGGTTCCAAAGCGGACAATTTTCTAAATACATATTAACCAAATACGTTCATACCATTTCTTATATTAAAAATTATATAATATTTAATCAAGTATATAAATTGATAAAATTAATTTATAGTAAATGATAAGTGAGAAAAAAACAACATAGAAACTAAATCATGTTTTTAGACGTACGGAGATAAAGAGTATGTTTGGTAACTAGTTTTCCAGTACCTTTAGTAACTAGGTTTTGAGAGCTTTTATAAGCTTTTAATATTTTAAGAAAAAAAAAATCAAATTTAAAAAAACTTTAATTTACCAAAGGATCAATAGCTTACCGATATGGAATGATCATCTCATATGACAGGTCAGGGGTTCAAATCTCGGTGGAGATATAAATAGTTATTTAGGAGTAAAATGGTTAGTTTACCGTTTAAAAAAAAGACCTTAATTTTGTCAGGAGTACGATCCTAAAAGTTTTAGTTAAAAAATAAAATAAAATAATAAAAAATATATAATCAAGAGTTAATTTAAATAGTTATTAGAGCTTGTAACTTGTACATTTATTTCATTTTATATTACAAAAGCTACAAGTGCTTTTATGGAACAAAAATTCTACATAAACAAAAGTTAAAGTTACGACTTCAAACATCGAGTTACATATACTTTTGCCAAATCAAATGGTAATTAAAAATTTATTTTTCCAATATACAATATATTTTCTCCAACACATTCCAATTTATGTTCAAAATAGTTATATATGAATACTGTCAATAAGTTCTTTATCTAAATATTTAAAAACAAAATAGTTACTCAAATATGAAAAATAAATAAAAATAAAAAAATAAATAAAATAAAATAAAAATAAGAGTAAACTATATGAATGATCTATGTGGTTTGGGGGAATTTGTGTATTTGATCCCTTATTTATTTTTTTAATTCGGATGATCACTATTATTTATTTTTGTTGCGCGTTTGGTTCCTGTTTTACCTAAAAAGACTATTTTACACTTATTAACTAATTTATTTAAATAATTTTCTTATTTATGTATTTATTCTTTATATATTTAAAAAAAATAGACCCCACATATTTGTATCTCTTCACCGTCTCATCTTTCATCCTCCTCAACTTCTATTTCTTTTCCATCTATAGTGATATCGACGTCTTCATCATTCATTCTTTTTCCGGTCCTTCAACTCTGTTGCATCAACACCACATGCAACCCATTAAAGATGAAGAGATAGTGAGTTATGATGGTTGGTCGTCAGAGTTGAATGACCAAAAAAAGGACGGTGAAGACGTTGATGTCACTAAAGATGGAAATGAAATAGAAGTTGTAGAGGATTAGAAATAGGATGGTGACCGCAGATTAAAATTTTCAAATGTGGTTTCAGGTTTTCGGTAAGGAGATACAGATATGTGGGGTCTAATAATTTTTTTTAATATATAAAAATAAATATATAAATAAGAAAATTAATTTAAAAATAAATTATTAAGAGCACAATAGTCTTTTTAGGTAGGACAGTGACCAAACGCGCAACAAAAATAAACAGTAAATACCATCCGAATTAAAAAAAAATTAATAAGTTAGGGACCAAAATGACAAATTCCCCCAAATCGCAGGACCAGTCGTAAAATTTGCTCTTACCTGTTGTAACCGCATGATGTATTCAGTTACAACAAGTTATAATGGTCATATGTGAACATTTCCAATAAATTTATTACCTAAATGTGTAAATAAAAAAAATAAAAAATAAAAAATAAAAAAGTTACTCAGAAGTAAAAATACCGAAAAATTAATTATTTTAATAAGTCATATTCTCATATATCTTTTTTATGTTCGACGATATAGGTTTCAATTGGTGTATTATATTTATATTATGATTATAGGTTTCAATTGGTGTATTATATTTATATTATGATTCCAATGACAATATATTTCAAACAGTCATGTAATTCTGCATTTATCGCTATCAAATATTTCATATTTCTTTTGTGTGTTCACAATATAGGTTTCAATTGGTGTATTATATTTGTATTATGATTCCAATGACTATATATTTCAAACAGTCATCCAATTAGAAGTAAAAGGAGAGAATTGATATTTCTTTTGGATTTTATTTAATATGTGATATTGTATATACTTTTAAATATTTAAAGTTAGAATTAAACATGACAAAGTTCAAGATTTTTAGGATTTAGCAATCAAACATTTTCTGTTTTTATTATTGTCTAAAATTTAAAGTTATAATAGTTAATGAACTGAATATGATCTCTCGATCAACATTTAACGTTTTATCCATATAAAATTTATGTTAAATTCAAACACTTTATTCATACATAACATAATAAGAAAAAAATACTCCATTATCAATGTTGTAAATTCGTTCGACACTAGCTTGGCGGTCGACTAGTGTTAATGGATTAATTGATCTTGGCGGAGATGAATCGTTGATTACTCGGAGACCATAGATTATTAAAAAACAATTAAAATTAATCAAATGTTATTATATCTTAAGAAAAAGAAGTACTTCGAAATTAGAAAATAAGAAATTTTGTAATTTGAAATTATGAAAATACGAAAATATAAACATTTTGGTATTATATTTGAAATTTTGAATATTTGAAAATTTTGGAGTAAAAAAAAATTGATTTTTTGAATATTTTTTTAAATTTTTAATTTTTTTTCTTTTTTGACTTTTTTACTTTTGTTGACCGATTAATCCCGCCAAGACCGATTAATCCCGACAAACCCGATTAATCCTAAATTTCCAATTAATACCCTAATCATCGACGGTTGGAAAACGTCAAACGATTAATCCACGATTAATCCCGATTTCTGCAACCATGTCCCTTATGATGTGTTTAGTTGCAAAAAACTTTTTTCAATTTTTAGAGGATTGAAATGTGTTTTCATTTTCATTTTTCTGTATAAATTTTATAAAATGTGTTTTAGCTAAAAACTGATTAAGTTCATTATCTATTATTGAAAATTATAAAACGTGTTTGGATTTGTAATTTGTATCGATTTTCATACTCCAAAATTGTGTTATTTTAAATAATACAAAACAGAAACAAAAACATAAACCACACCTCACCCGCCTATCATCTCGCACAACCATCACCCTACCCACCCGAACATCATAACAATCCACACCTAACACTAACACCCCTACAAACTCACCCTCCACCCAACCTACCCACCAACCCCTATGGTACCCGCCCCAACTATGCCCATATATCCACAACAAACTCATATATCTCCATAAACCATCCACAACCATATGTAGCTACTCACATACTTACTCATCACACCCTTTCCAAACCTATACACACTCGCTTACCCTTACCTATCCACATCCCATCATCATCACCCAACCATAAGGTAGGGGTAGGTGAGTTAGGGTCGGGTTTATGAGCAAGTAAAGGTGGGTGGGTAGGTATAGATAGTTATAGGTGATGGCGAGGTGGGGTGGGTGGGGGTGGTGGTAGATAAGTAAGGAGGGTTATGTAAGGGTAAATAGAGGTGGGTTAGGTAGGGTGGATGGTATGATGGATGTGGATAAGGGCATGGTGGGTAAGGCTGGGTGGAGATATGTGGCTATATGTAGGTAGGGTGGGTCGTAAGGATGGGTGAAAATGTGTAGCTTTTGGTGTGTAGGGGTAGATGAGGAGGTTGGGCAGGTGTAGGGATAGGTAGAGTTGGTTTGTATAGGAGGGCTGAGGTTAGGTGGTGTAAGGGAAACCAAAAGTAAAGAGTAGCAAGACTAATAAAGAGGAGATTATAGATGAAAAAAGAAACAAGAAGCTTTGATGAAATGGAAAAGTACATGGAAAAGGCATTTAGAGATAGGTTGGGAATTGGAGATACTTATTTGAAGGTGGAGATAGATCTAAAGACTAGTGACAAATATGAAACATTGATTTGACAAAGACATGATTACTCTTTCTTTGAGTGGTTTTAGAATTGTTTATATTTTTAAGGTTGAAAAGAAGTCGAGAGCATATATGGAAGTTGTGCAAGTAAAATATTTTTAATAAATAAACTATTACAATATATTTGCATAGGTTTTTAACATTTTTCAATCTTGTAATTTTCAATATTTTATATTGATCTTCTCAATAATATAACTTTTTTTTGTTTATGTTTGATGTTTAGGTTGTAGATCTGGAAAGTTCATCACTAGATAATGTTTAGTTAGATTAATTGATTGTAATGGCCTTTACCATATATAATATCACTCTCATCTATATAACTTATTTACTTTTCTTCTTATTTTATGCTTATGTAACTCTCATTGATAAATGGTAGGTGTAGAAGATGCTTTTTGGTTAGAGCATCTCCCATGCATAAATCGTTACAACTAGATTTCCCGCTAACAATTTGATTAAAAAGAATCTTTAATAAATCTTTTACCCAAATGCATATAAATTTGTATAATTTTTTTTATCTCTTGATAATAACTTAGCAGATAAAAAACCTTTTCTTAAAAAGTAATTTCCTAAAAAGTCACAATTCTTTAAAGGATATATTTAAAAGATAAAAAAAGTTTTTAAAAATGTTGCATTGGAAATGCTTTAAGATCAACTTTTATCCAAAAAGTTTAGAATTCCCAATTAGTGATTCACATAGGCCTTCATTAGCATCATCAATATCTACATCTTCAAATTTGATTTTTTTTAGAATTAAGTGTGTTCAGACGGATGCTTTGATATCTCATGAATCAAAAAACCATTAAGCATATGTTAGATTGAGCACTCAAGCG